ATTACTAGCAACACACGAAAAGGGGGTGTCTATTATGTGCAAGGCACCATGTGGCTCTAGGAATACCACAACACCAAAACTGACAAAGCCCTCTGTGTGGAGCCTGAGTGCTAGTGATATGGAATGAAAGATAAACAAATAAGCAAAGTGTATGATATGGATTCCATGATGATAAAAATGGATGAGCAGTTTTTCTTAAAATAGTGGACTAGGTCTCTGTGATAAAATGCTCCAAAAGAATGTATGGATCAGAAGAAATATGGACTGAGTCTGTGCAAATATGAGACAGAAAAATGACCACAGAAAGATAAAACAGATAATTCAAAGGACATATGGCAGGTAGAAGTATACTCCAAAAGCTGTGCACCTATACCTCAGTGACACATGAATGAGTAAAAGGAAAATCTAAGTAACTGTGCAAGAAATACAAATTGGAAAGAAATATCTTACTGTCGTTTGGAAAGCCTGATTAAACTGCTATAGTACATATTTTTTGCATCAAGAACTTGGCCAATCAGAAGAGATATGTCTGAACAAAATGGTACCAAGAGATTTTATCACAGCAAACCAGTCCCTAAATAGAGAAAATTACTTTAAAAAAAAACAATTATTGAAGAATCTCTAGAAAGTACCCGAGGGGCTGAAGCAGAGGTTAAGAGAACTGGTTCCTCTTGCAGAGGACCTGGGTTCAATTCCCAGCACCCACACGGCAGCTCACAACTGTCTGCACCTCTAGTTCCAGAGCATCTAACATACTCTTCTGACCTCCATAGGCAGCAGGCATACATGTGATACACATACATATATACAAGTATTCACATACATACATGAAAAACAAATATTTTACCAAAGAAAGTACTGTAATCATAGATAATGAATGAGGACCACTGGGCTACAGTCATACCTGTGCCCGGTTTACAGGGCACTGGTTCCATGAAGGAAAAAAGGTGGCCAAGAAGACAAATGATTGTTGCCACCATACAATATCCTGACCTTGGTGTGTATGAGAAAAGAATTTCATTATACCCAACCAAGAACCCTGACCACTGGTACCCAGGTTCTCACTCCAAGGAGAGAAGACCACAAAAATTGAGAGTCCCACAGCTTCTCATAAAGGAGTTTGAGATTAAGGGTGCTCTCAGAACACAATGAAATCCTAGTGGGGGGCATTTTGTGTGAGTATTTGTGGTATGTGTGTATGTTTGCATGTTCCAAGTATTCAATCACATGCATATATGCAGAGACATCTCAAGGGTACATGGGGAGGCCATAGGATGACAAATAGGCATATTCCCCCATCTCTATTCACATGATATATTTAGGCAGGCTGTCTCAACTAAAACCCAGAGCTTGCTTGTACAGACCACCACATCTGCCTGGCATTTACATGGCACTGGTAATCTAACTCTGATCCTGACATTTACATGGCAAGCATTTTACCTCCTAAGACACTTTGCCGGGTCTATTTTTGTTGTTTGGTTTTGTTGTTTCGTTTGGGGACAGGATATCAATGTGTAGCTCAAGCTGGACTTGAATTTTTAATCCTTTTGCATTAGCTGCCCGAGTGCTGAAATCACAAGCATAAAACACCACACCCAGCTACTTAAAATGAGTATTTTGTGGTAAGCAATTAAGGATAATTTGGAAGCTTCTTGGTTCTCTAAATCACAGGCCCTCCTCTTTATGAAGGAGACTCAAAAATAGAAATAGCTATGAAGAGCCCATCTAGGGTCAAAGAAAGACTGAAATGTTGGTCATAAAACTACTATAAGCCCAAAAATAGGAAGTATAATAAATGCAATAAAAATTTATTAGAGACGCACAATAGTAGATTTAAGCTACAGGAAGGAACAATCAGCAAACTTGAAGATAGATCAAGAGTTTCTAATCTAAAAAAAAGACAGAAAAATAAGAATCGCAAAATGTGATGCCACTAAGCACACCAATATACAACAAGAAATAACAAAAGAGATGACAGGAAAATATTTTAATAACTAATAGTGAGAAATCCACAATTTTATGAAAACTATATATGCAAAAGCCTAAAAATCTAAATATAGTACATTTAAAAAATACCCAAACTCAGGGAAATGCATGAATATTCTGAAATACAAAGCCAAAGAGAGTCTTAAAAGCAACAACAAAACCTCTCAAGACATATAAGAAAACTACAGTTGGACAGACAGAGTAGAGATCATAGGGAAGGAGGTGGGCCAATTGGGGAGGGTGATAGGAGTGTATGACAGAGGGGAAGGAAGGAAAAAGGATAACTAACACAGAGGATGCTTGAAAAAATCCATATGGAAAACTACTGTTTCATAAACTCCACACACACACACACACACACACACACACACACACACACTTTTTCACACACGTGAGTTTAAATGGAGTTACCATAAAGAGAAGATAATGCTCCTCCAAGAAGCCATAGATGGCCAAATAAAAAGCCCAGTGCCAGGTAAGGTGTACCTTTACTCAACTTGTTGGTTGGAAGTGGGCAGAAAATCCCCAAACATCGTAGAATATTGCTGTTATTAACCCACCAGAACTGGATGGTAAGACCCTTTTACTAAAAATACAACACATTTTTTGTCACAGGACTTGGAGAAATCTAGTTGTTACTGATCAGGCAGCTACTTCCCAGGTAGTTAGCTTTCACACTCCTGGAAGGTGCTATGCAGGCTTCTGGGAGAAAGTCATCAAGAGTCTTTACCCAGCTCTGAACTCTATTCATGGGTGCAATAGCGTCTTGAAGGACATAGAGAACACAATGCACTTTCTTATTCAACTTAAGGCCCACTCCTTAGAAGGAAGTACATGTCTACTACTATAAATCTGTTCAAGGACCTGTGATAAGGGAGCTCATACACTTCAGACACAAACCTACTACTATTAGTTTTCTAAATGGATGCAACATAAAACTGTTCTGTAAACATATTTCTGTGGGGTATGAAGTTAGGAGGGAGGTGGGATGGAGGGGTACTAGGAAGAATTGAAGGGCAGTAGTAGTGAATAGATATGCTCAAAAACATTGTACAATTGTATAAAATTTTCAAAGACAAAAAGAATTTAAATGACATATAATTACTAACAAATAAAAATGTTCTGCTGTGGGAAGAAACATCAGTATGAACTATGTTATCATTTTGACTTAATTCAAATATGTGTCATCTACATGTTACAGTGAGTCGAACATATTATATATTTAATACTAGAAAGGTTTAGAATTAATATACTAGTTACTGTTCTCTAGACTTACCCTTAATTCTTTCATGGCCTGCCCACAGAAGCTTCTCCTCCAAGCCCACCCCTATGCCCTAGGTACTCAGCATCATGGAGTAGACCAAGGGTTCCTCTAGTTATTCCTGATGGCCCCTTTAAGACTTTCCTTCTAGCCCATCTCAAGTCCTTTGTGACTTCTCAAACCCGCAGAATATCTCTTTTATCAGGGACCCAAAGCTGCCACACTAGAAAGGGACGCAGGTGGGGGACATCCATTCTCCTTTCCTGTCCTCCATTCCATCTCACCCAATCTGGCCTTATTCCTGCTTTAACCTGAACACAGGAGACCCTACTCTAGACAACCTTCACCCCGATATACTTTACCTCTTGGTATGAACCCAGATTTCCCTTGTTGTTTCCCACTGCCCCTCTCAATTTTTCATTCAACCTAATCTCTATTCCTTAGTTATTCTCCATTGACCAACATAATGGATCTACACCAGGGACCCCACCCCTACTACAGTTGGCTGAGACCCAGAACCACTCTCTACCAGGAACTATAGCCACTACTACCCTTGGCTGGTACTCAGAGAACTCACAGCTGCCACAATTGGGCAACACGAGCCAAAGAACATAATACCAACTCAACAAAGATGAGATGAGATATCTGCACCAAGAAATGCCTCAAACATCATAACTCCACTAAATCTATATCTCAGTGCAAGAACATAATTATGAACAACCAAGATAGAGTGCCTCTCCCAGAAGCCAGCATTCATATTGTATTAGGCCCAGAAAAAAGTAACCTATCCAAAACACACAAGACAAAGACTTCAAAATGACAGTTATGAATATGTTCAAAGACCTTAAAGAGGATATGAATGAATAGTGTAATGAAGACCATGAAATCACAAACAGTTGAATGAAATAATAAAAACGAAGACATTAAGGTAGAATTTAACAAAGAAATAAAATCACTAAAAGTAAACCCAAAGTGAAATATATCTGGAAATAAAAAATTCAAACCTCAGAAATAAGTGTCACCAATATATTAAGAGACAAAGAAGAAAGAATTTCATAGAAGAAGAAATGGAAAGCTCAGTCAAAGAAAATGTTAAATTAAAAGAAAACTCAGGCACAAAACATCCAGGAAGTTTGGGGCACTATGAAAACAACAAAGCTACAAATAATAGGAATTGAGAAAGGAGGAGAAGGAACACAGGTCAAAGGCAAAGAAACTATTTTAAACAAAATCATAGAAGAAATTTTTCCCAACCAAAATACAATAATGCCTATCAAGGTACAAGAGATATACCAAGTATCAAACAGACAGGACAAGAAAAGAAATTCCCCACAACACAAAATCAAAACATAAAATGTACAGAATAAATAAATAATATTAAAAGCTGCAAGAGAGCCCACATTTGGGCACCTTGCTTGGAGCGACCCAGGGCCTGAGGAGTGAGCTCTGTGGATCCCATCCCAGCGGGGTCCAGCCCAGCCAGAGACTGGCAGCCAGTGCCATACTCCCTTTCTCTGCCCACAAGACAAGCTTGGGCCTGTTTCTGGCCCACATTCTGGAACCCTGCTTGGAGCCACCTAAGGCCTGGGGACAGTGCTCTTGCAGACCCCATCCCAGTAGGGTCCAGACTACTCAGAGACTGCCAGCCAGTGTCCTAGTCCCTGTCTCTGCCCACAGGACGAGGAAGGGGAGAGCCATCAGAGTATTGGACCTGCTTGCACCCACTAGAAGGGAACCTTGGTCCCGTACTCACCAGGAGAGGAAGAGACTCCTTCTGCGCACACTGGAAGAAGAGATGGGAAAAAAACAATATAAAAACACATACAACAACAGAAAAACCAATATGACACCACTGGAGTCTAGGGACCTTACACCAGCAACACCTGAACATCTCAACACAGATGAAGCAGAAGAGAAGGACCTTAAATCAACTTCATAAAAATGATAGAGGCCCTCAAAGAGGATATGAGAAAATCCCTTAAAGAAATGGAAGAAAATTCAAAACAAGGAATACAAGAAACGAAAAATTCTCTTAAAGAAAGCCAAGAAAAAACAATCAAACAGATGAAAGAAACAGTTCAAGACCTGAAAACTGAAATAGAGACGATTAAAAAAACACAAACTGAGGGAATGCTGGAAATAGAAAAGCTGGGTAAACGATCAGGAACTACAGATGGAAGCGTAACCAACAAAATACAAGAGATGGAAGAGAGAATCTCAGGCATTGAAGATACACTAGGAGAAATAGATTCACCAACCAAAGAAAATCTTAAGTCCAAAAATTCCCTAACACAAAATACCCAGCAAATATGGGATACCATGAAAAGACCAAACCTAAGAACAATAGGTATATAAGAAGGTGAAGAAACCCACCTCAAAGGTGTGATACACTAGGAGAAATAGATTCACCAACCAAAGAAAATCTTAAGTCCAAAAATTCCCTAACACAAAATACCCAGCAAATATGGGATACCATGAAAAGACCAAACCTAAGAACAATAGGTATATAAGAAGGTGAAGAAACCCACCTCAAAGGTGTAGAAAACATATTCAACAAAATCAGAGAAGAAAACTTTCCCAACCTAAAGAAAGATGTGCCAATGAAAGTACAAGAAGCAAAAGAACACCAAACAGAATGAACCACAAAAATTCCCCTATCCACATAATAATAAAAATGCCAAATATACAGAATAAAGAAAGAATATTAACAGCAGCTAAGGAAAAAGGTCAAGTAACATATAAAGGCAAACCTATCAGAATTACACCTGACATCTCCATGAAAACCCTGAAAGTCAGAAGGTCCTGGATAGATATTCTACCAACACTAAGAGACCACAGATGCCAGCCCAGACTACTATACCCAGCAAAGCTTTCAACCACTATAGATGAAGAGAAAAAGATATTCCATAACAAAACAAGATTTAAATAATACATATCCACTAATCCAGCCCTACAGAAAGTTCTGGAAGGAAAACTCCAACCTAAAGAATTTAACTACAACCAAAAATCATAGGCAATAGATAATCCCAGTTTACCAACATCCAAAAGAAAAAACGGGAGGAAATCACAAACAAATCCACCACCAAAATAAATACAAAACAAACAAGAACGAACAATCAATGATCATTAAAATCCCTCAATATTAATGGTCTTAACTCGCCTATAAAAAGACACAGGCTAACAGAATGGATAAAAAGACAGAATCCATCCTTCTGCTACATACAAGAAACACACCACAACTTCAAAGACAGATGGTACCTCAGAGTCAATGGTTGGGAAAAGATTTTCCAATCAAACGGAACCAAGAAACAAGCAGGGGTGGCAGTCCTAATATCTAACAAATTAGACTTTAAACTAAAAGCAATCAAAAGAGGTGAAGGAGGTCATTTCATATTCCTCAAAGGAGAAAGCCATTAAGATGATGTCTCATTTCTGAACATCTATGCCCCCAAAACAAAGGCATCGACATTTGTAAAAGAAACATTACTAAAAGTCAAATCACATATAAAACTTCACACACATATAGTGGGAGACTTCAAAACCCCACTCTCACCACTAGACAGGACTACTAGACAGAAATTTAACAAAGAAACAAAGGAACTAAAAGAAGTTATACACAATTGTGTTTAACAGACATCTATAGAACATTCCATCCAAACACAAAATAATATACCTTCTTTTCAGCACCACATGGAACCTTCTCTAAAATCGACCAGATACTTGGCAACATAGCAAACCTCAACAGGTACAAAAAATGGCATAACCCCCTTTATCTTATCAGACCACCATGATTTAAAGTTAGAATTCAACAACAACACAAATTGCAGAAGACCTACAAATTCATAGAAATTAAATAATGCACAACTGCACAATTCCTGGGTCAAGGAAGAAATAAAAAAGAAATTGAAGACTTCCTAGAATTCAATGAGAATGAAAACACAACATACCCAAACTTATGGGACACTTTGAAAGCAATGTTAAGAGGAAGGTTCATAGCACTATGTGCCAGGATGAAGAAACTGGAGAATAGTCACACTAGAGAATTCACAGTACAACTGAAAGCTCTAAAACAAAAAGAAGCAAACTCACCCCAGAGGAGTAGATGCCAAGAAATAATCAAATTGAGGGTTGAAATGAATAAAGTAGAAACTAAGGTAACAGTACAAAGAATAAATGTAACAAAGAGTTGGTTCTTGGAGAAAATCAACAAGATAGAAAACATTTATCCAGACTTACCAAAAGGCAGAGAGAGAACATGCAAATTAACAAAATCAGAAATGAAAAGGGAGACATAACAACAGACACAGAGGAAATCCAGAGAATCATCAGGTCATACTTTGAAACCTTGTACTCTTCAAAATTCAAAAATCTAAAGGAAATGGACAATTTTCTGGATAGATATCACTTACCAAAATTAAATCGAGAAGAGATAAGCAATTTAAATAGACCTATAACCCCTAATGAAATAGAAGCAGTCATCAAAAAAAAGCCCAGAGCCATAAGGCTTCAGTGCAGAATTCTACAAGAAATTCAAAGAACAGCTAATAGCAATTCTCCTCAAAGTGTTCCACACAATAGAAGCAGAAGGGTCATTGTCAAACTCCTTTTATGAGGCTTCAATAACTTGGTACACAAGCCAAACAAGACACAATTAAGAAAGAGAACTACAGGTCAATATCCCTCATGAACATTGATGCAAAAATAAATAAAATACTGGCAAATCAAATCCAAAACACATCAGGAAAATCATCCACCATGTTCAAGTAGGCTTCCTCCAAGGGATGCAGGGATGGTTCAACATAGGAAAATCTATCAGTGTAATCCACAATATAAGCAAATTGAGAAAGAAAAATCGTATGATCATCCAACTAGATGCTGAAAAAGCCTTTGACGAAACCCAGCACCCCTTCATGATAAAGGTCTTGGCGATATCAGGAATAACAGGAACATAAACAAACATAATAAAAAGCAATATACAGTAAAGAAACAGCCAACATCAAACTAAAGGGACAGAAACACAAGGCAATTCCTCTAAAATCAGGAACAAGACAAGCCTGTCCATTCTCTCCATATCTCTTCAATATTGTACTAGAGCAATCAGACAACAAAAGGAGATCAAAGGGATACAAATTGGAAAGGAAGAAGTCAAATTTTCACTATTTGCAGATGATATGATAGTCTACATAAGTGACCCGAAAACTCTACCAGGGAAGTCCTCCAGCTGATAAACACATTCATCAAAGTTGCAGGATAAAATATTAACTCAAAAAAATCAGTAGCCCTACTATATACAGAAGATAACTGGGCTGAGAAAGAAATCAGAGAAACATCACCCTTTACAATTGCGACAAGCAACATAAAATACCTTGGGGTAATGCTAAGTAGACAAGTGAAAGACCTGTATGGCAAGAATTTTGAGTCTTTAAAGAAAGAAATTAAAGAAGATACCAGGAAATGGAAAGATCTTTCCATGATCTTTGATAGGTAGGATCAACATAGTAAAAATAGCAATCTTACCAAAAGCAATCTACAGATTCAATGAAATCCCCATCAAAAACACACTACAATTCTTCACAGACCTTGAAAGAACAATTCTCAACTTTACATGGAAAAACAAAAGACTCGGGATAGCCAGAACAACAATATAGAGCTATAGTCCTGAAAAGGGCTTCATATTGGCACAAAAATAGACAGGTAGACCAATGGAATCGAATTGAAAACCCTGATATTAAACCACATACCTACAAACATCTGATTTTTGACAAAGAAGCTAAAATTATACAATGGAAAAAAGAAAACACCTTCAACAAATGGTGCTGGCATAACTGGATGCTGGCATGTAGAAGACTGCAGATAGAAGCATATCTATCAAAATGCACAAATCTTAAGTAAAAATGGATTAAAGACCTCAACATGAATCCAGCCACACTGAACCTCTTAGAAGAGAAGGTAGTACCCTCAAACGAATTGGTACGGAGACAACTTCCTGAATATAACACTAGTAGCACAGACACTGAGATCAACAATTAATAAATGGGACCTCCTGAAACTGAGAAGCTTCTATAAGGCAAAGGACAAACTCAACAAAACAAAATGGCAGCCCACAGACTGGGAAAAGATATTCAGCAACTACACATCTGACAGAGAGCTGATTTCCAAAGTATACAAAGAACTAAAGAAGCTAGTCACCAAAACACCAACTAATCCAATTAAATTGTGAGGTATAGAACTAAATAGAGAATTCTCAATGGAGGAATCTAAAAACGCTGAAAGACACATAAGAAAGTGCTCAACATCCTTAGCCATCAGGGAATGCAAATCAAAACAACTCTGAGATACCATCAGAATGGCTAAAATCAAAAACACCAATGACAGTTTATGCTGGAGAGGATGTGAAGAAAGGGGAACACTCCTCCACTGTTGGTGGTGGGGGTCACAACTTGTACAATCACTTTGGAAATCAGTATGGAGGTTCCTCAGGAAAATGGGAATCAGCCTACCACAAGATCCAGCAATTCCACTCTTAGGCATATATCCAAATGATGCACATTCATACAACAGGGTCATCTGTTCCACCATGTGCATAGCACCATTATTTGTAATAGCCAGAATCTGGAAGCAACCCAGATGCCCCTCAACTGAAGAATGGATGGAGAAAATGTGGTACATTTACACAATGGAGTACTACTCAATGGGGAGAAAAAAACAATGGAATCTTGAAATTTGCAGGAAAATGGATGCAACTAGAAGAAACCATCCTGAGTGAGGTTACCTAGTAGCAAA